AAATAAGTGGAAAACTGGCAATCTGTGGTCAAACAAATAAGTGGAAAACTGGCAATCTGTGGTCAAACAAATAAGTGGAAAACTGGAAATCTGTGGTCAAACAACTAAGTGGAAAACTGGCAATCTATGGTCAAACAACTAAGTGGAAAGGGCTGAAATGTGAGTCACATTAGGATGTCCCAGAGGAAGGTAGAGGCAGATGGACCAATGTTGAAAATCCCAACACAAATGATAGATAGACATGACAGGAATGGAACCAGAAAAAAAAAGGACATATGACTGTAGATCTCAACCTTGCAGGGAATGGAGCAAATAAACCTGACATATGAAAATGAAAGGACCACACTCCTGTGAGAGAGAGATGTTGTAGGAGGAAGAGAGCAGGAATAAGGCAGAAGAAGAAGGGGGCCAGATGCTAAATGAAGGACCAGTGTAAAGCAGGGCTGAACTGCCAGAGGCCTCACCAACAAAGCCCGACAAGACGAGTATCAAAGTGAGAACCTAAAGTAGAAGACAAGAAAGAGGATAGGCATATAGAAAAAGGGAAGGTCAGTCCTGGCTGAAAGAATCAGCCAATAAGGCTGGAGGATGAGGAACTGACAAGCATGGAACATTGGCTGTCAGGTCGAAAATAGACAATGAGTACCAGAAGTCACGAAGACTCAGGTCCAGTGCACAGAAACTTTTTGAAATGACATCTTCTACACTTGGGGTGCATAAGTAGATTGTATAGACACCAATATATTTCTACAAGTGTTTTTTTTAATGGGTAGCTCCCACATATTACACAGTCACTTCAATATGAACACTCTGCCTAAATTATCTATCAAAAAACACATTTATGTTATTTAATTCACTTTAATGATCAAGTAGCTTCCACTAATGGATGATGAAAATCTACATATATATATATATAAAATGCACCTTCACAGTGCCAGACAGATGTAACAAACTTTACAAATGACTTATAGTCAAGCTTATGGAATCTCTTGAAACGGTTTCCTCGATTTTCTTTCTTCAAGATTCTTGTAAAATATACTACTGCTTCTAGTGATTGATTCACTGAGAGGAAAACACAGTTTAAAATTAAAGATGACTGTGTCGAATAACTTTTATTTATACAAACACTTTGGGTTTTACTTCATCCAACTTCATCGTGTTCTACATAATAAAAAAAAAGAAGAGTATAATATGATGATGATGATATATATATACACACACACACACACACACATAACAACGTTTTAATTAACTAGATATACAAGTTGAAACATTAAGCTTATGAGAAGTGAGTAGGATGAAAGAAGGAATTTAAGTGGTCAGAACTAATATATAGCCCAGCAGGGTGAGTTAAAATAATTTTAGTGGTAGGGAGATCAGGTTGTTGTTAAGAATAGGGCAATTTTTATTAATTAAAATACTCTCTTTCATGAGAGGTTGGTGATCTGTTTTAACAGTGGCTAAGATGTTAAACTGGTTTAAATTGATGTTGTGATTAATATTCAGTTTGTGACAGAGTTACAAGGACTACCAGTCTTCAAGGACACTCCCATAATAATAATGTACAGCAAAATAGTGAACAATGTCATCAATGCAGTCTGTGTGTGTATATATATGTCCCAAGAACTCATAGCTGTTGGAAGATGGACATTCTGTTGGAAATATATCAGTTGGACTTGAGGGTAAAATTTTCAAACAAGTTTGTTAATTTGTTTTTTAAGTAGGAAGTTTTGTCTATCAAGGTAAGGTGTGCACAGGTGAAAAACACATATATAAACTGAGAGAGACTTATAGTTAGGTTGAAATTTATTGATTAGAAAATTGAAAATGATTGTGTCCAAAATGTGTAGAGGAAATCTATCTAACATTAAAGTATCTTTTATGAAAGAATTTTACAAATGAATGTTAAAATAGTTAAAACAAATAACAATAAATAAGATTCAATTTGTAGTAACTTGGAATACAGCCGTTGAACTGAGTGAACAGACTAGTAAATGTTTTCTTTCGGTACAAAGAGGTTGAGAAATTGTTAGGGTTACAGGTAAGAAGAATGTCAAGAAAGATCGGGGAGTTTTTTGTTATTGTTGTTCTATTTCAACTGTAAACTGTATACTGGGGTGTTGTGAGTTTAAATGGTTAAAAAAATTAACACAGTTGTTATTTGGAATGTATCATCAACATATCTGTTGTACAGAAGTAGCTTAAAACAAGCCATGAGGCACTCTCTCAACCACACATGTTCAAGAAAAGTTCTGGTGATTCCATGTTCAACTGCATAATGACCAATCAAAAAATGTCTTTAGTAAGTGTTGTTGTACAGTCACAGACATCTACTTGACACCGTATCTTCATTAATAATATGCAGGTTCTCTATATTTTCATATTATTTCAAATGATGAGCAGCATATGCTGCAGTGTCAACCTTTACATGTTCTTAGTTAACTTACAAGTTCTTAAAAACATTAAACACAACTTAGCATTACTTAAAAGAGATAGTTCTGTTTCATGTTATGAACATACACACTATCTTAATATCATATACAAGTTATTTTTTAATACATGGATTTTATTTGCAGGTGAGAAATAAACTCATAACGCTGATTACTAATTTCATAATCCGTAATACATTTGCTAAATTTAAGTATTTAAATTATATAGAAACAAAAAAAAAGCTTTCTAGCTTGGCTGAACCTATGTTTACCTATCTACTGACCTAAAACCTAACATTGTACTTGCAGTCAATTATTTTAGGACTTTTAATCAGAAAAATTAGTACATAATAACAGCCTTTTTTTTATGTTCCTGATATGAATCGTAGCATTACTCTGAATCATGTTTTTATTGTACATATTTAAGTTTTCAATTTATACTTACATTTATAATCAACATTAACTCCAAAGTAATATAATTTTTCTAAAAACATGTAACAACTAATCATCCTAGGACCAACAAAACACATCTTTGGAATTATTTCCATACACATTTATCTTTTAATTTATACTTACATTTATAATCAACATTAACTCCAAAGTAATATAATTTTTCATGTAACAACTAATCATCCTAGGACCAACAAAACACATCTTTGGAATTATTTCCATACACATTTATCTTTCAATTTATACTTACATTTATAATCAACATTAACTCCAAAGTAATATAATTTTTCATGTAACAACTAATCATCCTAGGACCAACAAAACACATCTTTGGAATTATTTCCATACACATTTATCTTTTAATTTCCTGTTTGCATGCTTAATTATAACTAATCTACAGGAAAATGTTCCTCGGGATACACATATTAAATCAAACATTACTGTATGTCCATAGTCATTGCTTTAGTTGTGTAATTTGTAAGTACATACAAAGAAAACAATAGTATTACATACACAGACAATAGGGGTATTTTAATTTAACACATTATATATGTATATATAAAATTAGCATTAAGAAGTTCTTTGCAAAATTCATTGTAACTCCTAGTCATCACCTTAAAGTCATAATGGATACTGTCTGTGGTAATAGCACCCATCTACCAGACAAAATCTATACGCTGATGTTAAACTAGCCAGTAATCATGGAAAATCAATAAAGGATAAGGAGTTGAGTGCTTACACTTACAATGTCTCGACTCTTACTGCCTTCCACTGTCTGCAACCAGTTGTGGGAAGGCAGTTACCCTTAAATGTTCTTCTAATTCCTAAAGTAAAAATGAAATGAAAACACTTAGGGTATAGGTTGGGAGTAACATATAGTAAAAATTTAGGGTGGTTTCATTTCAATCAATAGTGATGATTTTAAAATCACCTATTAACAATTAATGAAAATAATAGTATTGAAGCTATTTATTTCATTACATATATATATATATAAATATGTGTGTGTGTGTGTGTGTCACAGATTTCTTTTCTTTTTCACCAAAGCTAAAACTGAAAAGTGAATCTGTGACATAAAGGCCTAATGCATTCTCTGATTGGCCATACCCTCTGCTGTGGACTGCAGTTTTTCCTATTCAAGGCTCATCACCACAGCTTGGGTAAAAAACTAAAGAAATACAATTAAGCCTCTTATAATGGTGATGTGTATATTATACCTATAGGGTTTTTGAGTCCTTTTAAGTCACCATACAGTAGCCTAAGTTAATTTGGTGCAATGTCCTAACATTATTCTTATACCTAAATTAACATAAGTTACTGTAAAGTGATATAAAAAACTCCAGAGGTAAAAGTAAGTTAGTCTTGAAATGGACATAGGATCAGTGCTTAACTCTAGTTTCAAGTGGTAGAGCTGATGAGAATGGTTACACACACCCTATAGATCCATTACAAGTTAACTCCAACTATTAGCTGGTATCCGTTTCATGAGAATGGTTACACACACCCTATAGATGAGATGCCAGTCCATCACAAGTTAACTCCAACTATTAGCTGGTATCCGTTTCACGAGAATGGTTACACACACCCTATAGATGAGATGCCAGTCCATCACAAGTTAACTCCAATTATTAGCTGGTATCCGTTTCACAGCTGGATAGACTGAACAAAATTGGGTCACGAGCAAGCTTCGAATCTGTGATCTTTTGTGTGTTGGCTCAGTATTTTCATTTGTGAGATACTGAAATATTGTTACAGTCCAAGCAGTTTACTTACCTGATTGAAACAGATATCCTTACAACATAACTTACAATATACTATGTACATTTCACACTGGATGCTCATATTTAGTACAACCCATCATCAGTCCATGACAAGATAGATAACCACCAAATTCTAAGAATAAAAGATGAAATAACAATTAGCACAACCTAGGACAGTAACTCTAATTTTCATGAAATGCCAAAAAAACATATACTAAAATTCAAAGGATATTCTAATCCAATGTTTTTTGGTGTAGAACTTAATTATGTCAAATATTTCCTACTTTACTGAAATAAATTCTTTTTGTGGCTTTTGTTGGCTAAACATTTAAAATTAATTTCTGGGAACTCACTCTAGATGTCATATTTTCTAAAAAGTAAATCCAACAGATATGTATGTATAAAACAAAAGTCAATAATTATATTGTTTTTTTTAAACTCTTAGAACAAAGCCTATTTTTTCTTCATTAACAAATAATACCAAGTTCTATGGAACCCACATAAGTCTATTAAAATCTATTTATAGAAATCTTTTTTAATCTGCCACATTTCGTTACCTAAATAACTGGTAGAGTTGAATAAACTACATTTAGTGAAAAAGTTATGTTTTCCTTTAGTATATGTTTGGTTTATGGATATCCTTTTGTATATGTTCGTTATTTGTTGTACTAAACAACTTCAAAACATAACTTTTTCACTTTAGTATATGTTTGGTTTATGGATATCCTTTTGTATATGTTTCTTATTTGTTGTACTAAACAACTTCATATCCATAAACCAAACAAAAGAATTGAAAACAAATTACAGCTCTTCGTATTCTTTTACATGTCCAATAAAAAAATTAAAACAATTTAAACTAACAGCAAAAATTTCAATAAAAAAACATAACAAATTGACAGTTTACTATGGGGAAACCTGAAACTGGACTTCCAAAGCTTACACTTATTGCCATTAATATTCATAGTTGATATTTCACACATTTTCACCTCACACCCCAAATAGATTACCAAAGTTTCTAAAAATCTCAAAAATGTAAGTCAAGTCTCCCTCCTTTATTTGGTGTTAAAGTGAAAAAATTTCTGAATCTTTATTTTTTCTTTTTTTTTTTAAATCAGATATCTTTCTAAAATCTAATCTCTGCATTCCTGTGAATATGGTAGTATCCTAACTGTAATACAACCAAAACATTACAAAGGCAGCTCCAAACATTGGTTGCACTTGGAAATATTATATCAAATCTAGAAAATTAGTGCTTAACATTTAAAGTGTGATGCTAAAAACCAATCTATCTGATATTGAAGTCCCTTCTAATAGTTGGTAAATACACAATATCATGTAATCTATAGTTTAGATCTAATATTATAGAACAACAAATCTATAAGGATACAAGTTTTGATACTTTTGTGTGACCTCTACAGACCAACTTTGGACTAAAATTTTAACTAAGCTGGAGTAAAGAAGGCATTAAAATACAGAAACCTGTATCCATATAAATTTTTTTATTGTTCTGTTACAGTGATTCTAAACTATTGAAGTCATCCATATAAGCAAGAAATTATATAAAAAACATTGGAAAGGAAGGACATGAGAGAAAATGAATTTGAGGGAAGATGTATGACAAGGGATATGAATTGTCCTGATATATATGGAGAAAAGTGATAATGATTATCACAAACAATTCTTCATCTACTAGCAGTAATGATCAGCTTTTCATGACCTTGACATTATCATAACATGAAAAATAGGACTTTGGTCAACTTTTAATGAACTTAGGTATACGAGTGTTTTACATGTATAGCTGAACCCTAAAAATATTAATTCTTTCACTACATCTAGTACGTGTATTTCCCAGTGTGTGTGTGTGTGTGTGTGTGTGTGTGTTCATTACAGTGACTTCATCAACAGTACTAAAAATTATATGATTTACTACAATATGTGTGAAGCAGACATAGAATGTGTGTGGGCATGTGATAATAGCCTGGCCTTCGTAATATACCAAAAATAATGATTTAATCCAGAATACATAAAAACTTGAAATCTCTGTATATGTTGTCCAGACTATATATACAATGAAATAATGAAAAACACTGTCATGTCAAGGGGAAGAAAACATGCAGAATTCAAGTTGTCTCACACAAACACATCTGTTATATCAATAAACCTTTGCATTAAAAACATACCTATTCTAATCTCAGTGAAAAACACATATTAGAAGGTGTTATAAGTATGAAAATTAAACACTTTAATTTACAATTTGGTAATTGAGTCATTCATATGTGTTTGTATATAATGTTTATGGTAGATTAGCCTATCAATCAACAGACTATCAATCTTACAAATAGTTCAGTCACAGTAGATTATAAAAATATGAAAGAAAAATAATAGTTAGCATTTCTGAAATTGAAGAGTTAAATATAGAGTTGGATTTCACACATTTCATATATGCAGACCCACACTAGCCCTGGACTAGTATGTACAGAATAGTTAAATATAGAGTTGGATTTCACACATTTCATATATGCAGACCCACACTAGCCCTGGACTAGTATGTACAGAATAGTTAAATATAGAGTTGGATTTCACACACAGGCAC